CCCACCGCCCCCCACTTGTTTTCCTCCAACAGGCCAAGGCCCCTCCACTCACAGGCCTGAGGCAGAGGGGCTGACCACCCTCACTCACCCCAGGCCTCAGAACCAGGTCCTGCAGCAGGTCTGGAAGAGGGGGCATAGGGGCTGAGGTCCTGAAACCCCTCACCAGCCAGAGGGTCTGCACACAGAAGCACTGCCAAATGACCCTAAGGCCGGGTGCTGGGATTGCGCCCCGTTCACAGGTGCAGAAACTGAGGCTCACAGGGCTGAGTAACTGTCCAAGGTCGCATAGCCAAGAGGCCGTATGTCCCAGATGCAAACCCCAGGCCTCTGCTCTGCTCACCACTGTGAGAGGCAAAAGCAGATCCTGGCCCTTCTCCCTTCCTCCCAAGCCCTGGCCCCAGATGCCAGGGTCCTTCAGAGGCTCCAGGACCCAGAAGTAGAAGCAACAGCAGCCAGGGCTGGGGGATTGGGAGAGCAGATCGCAGCTGTCATGAGGGCCCTATCCCCAGGGCTGCCCACACGCGAGGCCTGCCTGCTCTCCAGACAAAGCTCCCTCCCACCTGGGTTGTTCAGAAGCAAGGTCTGGACAGTGAGGTCCCCCAGAAGCCAATGGTCTCAGTGGGGATCATCCTACGTTGTACAGATGTGGAAACTAAGGCCCGGAGCAGGTATAGGATCACACAGCAGGGGAGAGGCAGAGTCACAGGACCCAAGCATCTTCCCCAGCCTGGGAGAAGGGCTGTCTCCTGACACATGGTTCCCTTTACTGAGGGTGGTCCCACTCCCCAACCTGAGCTGTTCTGAAGGCAGATTCCATGGGCAGATTGGCAACCTAGAACTTAGCCTGGGGCTCTGCCCAAGGCACAGGCCAGCAAGGATGGCCAAGACCTTGGGTCCAAGGTGGCTAGGAACCTGGGAACCAGCAGTTAGCATAATGGCTATGTCGCTGGACTCCCACGTAGTCAACGGTAGTTCACGTCCCGGACCTGGGGGCCTAGAACTCATGCTGGGCGCGTGTGCATGCTTGCCCAAGATCCCGAGAGGAGAATGGAGGAGAAGGGATTGTGGCGTGACCATCCCCCCTGGGGGTGATTTCTCGCTTTCTGTCTCTATGTCTTTGTCTGTCTGGCAAGCGCACGTGCCCTATAGCAAAAAAAAAAAAAAAAAAAAAAAAAAAACCCTCTCCTAGGTGGCTAGGAACCTAACACAGCTCCTGCAGTCAGGAGCAGCTGTGAGATCAGGCCTAGAAGCCTCCTCCTTTCCAATGCCCTCTCCTTCAGGAAGCCCTCCCAGTCACCCCAGCGCAAAGACCAGCTCCCAGTCTGCTCTTGCCTTTGGGAAACTATGGAAGCAAGATGGTACTGTCACCAAGCCCTTGAAGTCTCTCCCCAGTGTGTCCTTTAAGTGGCCACTCAGCCTGAACACAGACATCCTGGCCATCCCCCCGGCAGAGCCCCAGTGTGGAAAACAGGGCTAGACCTTCATGCAGTTGCATTCTCATCGCCAACCGTGGCCGATGGCCTGAGAACCAACTGGTTTAGGGGCTCAGGTGAGCGGATGAACCCTCTGATCTGCAGATCTGCTGGCTCCAACCCTCCCCTATGTCCAGGCTCCAGGCTAGCTCATCTCCCTCCAGCAGGTGGAGCCAGTGACCTCTGCCCCTGGCCTTTGCCTCAGCCTAGAGCCCCTCACAGCCCTGGTCTCCCCAGCAAGTCTCACTCAAACCGTGCCAGCTCTTAGCCCGATTCCCAGAGATGTGGCAGGAGGGTGGGAACAGCATGTGGAGGGTCTGAGAGGAGCTCCGGGTAGGGACCACCTCCCAACCTAAGCTCCTAGATGCCGGCCTCAGGCAGCTCCTGAAGAGTCTCCATGCATCTGTTAGAAATGACAGGATAGGCTGGTCTCATAGCCTAATTGTTAGGGAGCCGGATCCCACACGGCCAATGGCAGTTTGAATCCTGGCCCCGGCAGCCTGAAAAACATGCCAAGCTTGGGGGCATGCATGCTCAAAATCCCAACGGGTTAGAGAAATGGAGAAGGGATCGCGGTGTCACCAAGACCCATTGTAGGTGCTTTCTCCCCGTCTCTGTGGCACGCTTACATGCCCTCTTGCAATAAAAAATCATTCATTCAAAAGACAGGATGGGTGCAGTCAGTAGCAAACTGAACTGCAACTCTGAAACCCATTATATGACTGACCTCAGGTTCTGATCCCCGGGTTGGCCTAAAAACATACTGGATGCGTGTGTGCATGCTCAGGATCCTGATGAGCTGGACAGCCAGGGAAAGGGCCTGCAGAGTGACTAGACCCTGTCAAGAGTGTCTCCCTCTTTCCCACCCCTCTCATGCACACATTCATGCGCTATTTAAAAAAAAAAAAAATTGAAAAAAACGTAAAAAGAAAAGAACTGACCCATGTAGGTTGACTTGGACGTGGGAAGGTGATATATTATCAAAAGCAAAGAAGCAGTTGGCCTAAGAATGTGCTCAGGGTTCACCAGCAAAACCTGCCTGTGTACTATGTGAGCACGTGTCCAAGAACTGTGTCTGGAAGGAAGGACAGCACACACTTACGCTGTTTACACATTTAGAACCAGAGACGGAGGAGACATGTTTACCTTAACACCTCAGTATTTTGGGTCACTTTTTTAAAATAAAAAGGAATGGGAGAACATTGGTGCAGCAATAAAATATGATGCTCTACTAGGCGAGCTTGCATGAGAAGGTTCCCAGTTCAAGCCCAGAGACCTCCCTGAGTACCCCTGCACACGTGTGCCAGTGGTCTGGGGCTGGTGGAAGCTGGGGTTGGAGCACGGCATCCAGGCCCTGTTAGGAGTGCTCTCTCCCTTTACTTTTCCCTCTCTCTCTCTCAGAAGAAATGAATGAATAAAATGTAAGGCATAAAAAGGTTAGTAGGAAGAAAAAGAGTCATTATCACATGCACAGTCTCAGGATCTACAGCCCACTTCCCTGCCCTCAATCCCATCTCCTCCTCCCTGGCCCGGGCACTTGCCACCGCCCTCTGTGTCCTCTCTTGGCTTTGATCCCCTCTCCACCTGCCCCTCCCCTCTCTCATTCCTGCCACCCCAGGAGTCCCAGACCCCATGCCTATCCAGCACCACCTCCTCCCCAGGAAGTTTGAGTCCTTCTTCCAGGAAGCCCCTCGGCACACTTCTACACTTGGGTTTCCTGCAAGTCGTGTGTTCCGGAATCCCTCCCACGTTGGTCCTTTTCCCAGGAGCTCACAGGTCTCCCACTGTAAGCATTGTGCCTCACTAGCCAGATGGATCCCCCCCAGATGTCTCTCCTAGGGCAGGTTGGCCTATTCCTTAGACCCAAAGGAAGCACCCAGAAGTTCACCCCACATCCACTCTAGGCCATTTGCAGGCCCATAGGGGAGGCCCTAGCTGCGTTGGAAACCTGCAGGGAATGCAGGAAAGAGCTCTCTGGAACCTCTCCCGATTCTCACACCACCCTCTGGCTTGGGAGTGAGCCAGGGAAGACCGCTAACTCTACGGAAACCATCCCTTCCCCCTCTCTGGCAGAATCACTCACCTAAAGGCAGTAACTAGGGGACTGAGCCAGCAAAGCTGCAATCCCCACCGCACTCCTGCAGTAGGACCCTGAGTCCTTACTCAAGGATGGCAGGGAATGCTGGTATACTAGGTAAGTTTCCCCTCTTCCTGGGGAGGAGAAAGCTTCTTCAGCATAGGTTGGGTGGATGGGTGGATGGATAGCTGTGTGGCTGGACGGACAGATGGATGGGTGCGGGGACAACTGAACCTATGGGTTTGTTGCAGACTGGTTCTGGTCTTCTCAAAGGAATTTTCTAAATCTCTGAAATGTGAGGCGCTGGCACCCCCCAGAGGCCAGAGTCTCTGTCTATCTCCCCTAAAGCCCTGAGCACCCTTGGTCTGAAAACCAAGGGCTGGGCCTGGAGAAGGTTAGGGACTCGGGAACAACAAGAAAAACCTAGAGACCAGTTCTGCTCTGCCCCTGACTGACCCTGTGGCTTTGGGTAAGTTCGGCTTCTGAGACTCGGTGTTCTCATCTGGTGCTAATCAACGGTGCTAATGCCTGTCGAGCTAGGAGATTTAAACCAAATGACGTGCGACATGCCGGAGATGGTAGTATCCAGCGCTTGAAAGGTACTCTTAGAATGTGATTTTCTTCCTCTTGGGCACAAGCGTGTGTACACACATGTACACACATGCACACACACACGCACACACGCACATGCACATACAAAACATCCCTCCAGCCCAGCAGGGAAGGCGGAAAGTAAGACCCTAGGCAAGGCCAGACCAGGAGGGGCAGATGGGGACATATTTATTCTCCAGGGGCTCCATGCTCTGGTGGGACTGGCCCAGCCTTGGAGGTCAAGGACTCAGGGAGTGTGGACCCTGAGGCCTCCTGGGGTTCATCCTCCTGGGCCTGGGCCAGCTGGGCCGTGTACTCAAAGGCAGCCTGCAACAGGTGGGAGGCAAGGCAGGTGGTCCAGGTGACGAGATAGGCCAGGTGCCAAGAGATGCTCACCACCCACCAGTAGAGACACTTCAGCAGGGCCAGGGGCTCCAGTACCACGTGGTTTCCCAGCAGGGCCTGGGGCAGGCAAGTGGACAAGCAGATGGCCCCCAGGAGCTCCCAAGCAGCACTGCCTGGCTGCTGGCCCCAGCCCCGAGCCCAGCCACGACACATGCCCGGCCCCGCCCTCCACAGCCAGCCCACGCCCCAACCCACATACCTTGCTGGGCAGCCAGCCCAGGCCAAAGCGGTGGGCCTTCTGGCAGAGTCGCCAGGTCAACAGCAGCAGCAGCAGGGCCACCAGCATCAGGCTGTGCAGACATGACAGGAGCAGGTCTCTGCAGGTGGCCACCGACAGGCCCAGCCGCCCCCAGGCACCCAGCCACTGCAGGGCCATGCCCCAGGCCAGCCTGAGCCCCCGCAGCACCAGCCACACAGGGATCTGAATCAGCATGAGCCCAGCCCGCAGAACCCGGCCCAGGGGGCAGGCTGCAGCTCCGGGCAGGGCACAGGCCTGTCTGCTGCAGGACCCTCGGGCTTCCTGGGCCAGCCCTGACACCCAATGGTTGAAGAGGATGATCCTGAGGAGCAGGAAATTGTAGAGGTGGACCCGGTTCTGGACCAGCTGCAAAAACGGGAAACAGTTGTCACCCACCCAACTTTTGCGTAGACAGGAGGATGGGATTCTGGTGACCTTGCACCAGGTCCTCCCCACTGTGGGTCTCAGTCACCCCACATACAAGGATGACCTTTGCCTACTTTTAAGTGCTCTGTTTTGAGGGGGGCTCTCTATAAGGCATTGCCAATGACATTCAGTTCTCCTTCTATTGGATGTAAATGATTCTCTACAATACTCCAGACAAAGGAGGCTGCCTCACCACCACCACCACCATCTCCACCACCACCTCCATCACCATCACAAGGAGTGACTCCCCTGCCTCAATCCGGACTTGAACGTGGGTCAGCCTTCCCTCCTGCTGCCTCCTGGAGGCAGGGGAGCAGCTGGGGACAAAGGACAGTGTTGTGAGGGGTAGAGAGATGTGAGACGCTGAAGGAGTGGTAGACTCAATGGCAGAGACCCACTGGAGCGGGGAGCCTTGAAGATTGGCAGTGTCTGCTTTGGGTGACGATTGGGCAATGGCGTCTCCATCACTGAGACTGAGGAGTGAGGTTGGGTGAGAGAAGAGGCTGTAGGCGAGAAAACTACTTGAGTCCTAAAGCTGAGAGAACCCCCACCCCAACCTGAGTGACTGTAGCCCAAGAGTTGAGGCACACTCCCCATGCTCCACATCCATGGGGACTACCAGGGTTTGGGTCCCGGAGCCTCTGAGGGACAGAGTGGGAGGCAGCTGTAGGATGGGGGCTGGCTGCATGCCCCCCTCGGGGGTTGGATTAGCAGACTCAGGGGACGCAGCTGTGCCAGGAAAGAAGACTAAGAGGCACAAGAAGAGAGGAGTGAGAGTGAGGCGGGAAGTAGGGTCTTCCTTCCACCCCCAGTCACGAATGATGTGGAGACCGGGAAGGGTGGAAACCTAGTACATCCCACATGATCCTATAAGATCTGTTTTACAGGAAAGGAAATAGAGGCACAGTATGCCCCCGTGGCACGCCCAGGGGACCACTGAGGGAGTATGATTTGGAGGTGTGCCCCAGCCACTGCAAGTATTTGCATGTTTACAAAAGAGAGATGAGGGCCAGCCCATGGCATGGTGAGGGCAGCCGGATCCCACCTGGCTGGACCCAGCAGCCCGAGAAACACTCTGGGCACGAATGCATGCATGCCCCAAATCCCGGAAGGACAGAGCAGTAGAGGAGAAGAGATTGTGGCATGATGCAGCATGGAGGTGCCTTCTTGCTTTCCCTCTCTCTCTCTGTCTCTCTCCAGCAAGCACGCATCCCCTCTGGCAAAATTAATCGAATTTAAAAGAGAGATGGGAAGAGCAATGCTTAACCCAGTGACCCTCTATAGAGCATTCCAGCACTGTGGCTTGGGGGCGGGGCTTCTGGGAGCGGTCAGATAACTCCCAAAGGTAAGCAGCTACCTAGTTCCCCCAAGTGGGACAGGTAGGGCTTGGGGCCAGCAGCCCTGAGGTGCTGCAAAGGGCTGGATGTGCCCTCATCATGCTGCCTCCCCAGACCCCGCTCACCAGCACGGAGAGCCTCATGACCTGCAGGAAAATCCCCACAAGGCTGGGTCTGACCGGAGGGGTGGCCTCCATGTCTGCCTCCTTCCCCTCGTGCAGCTGGGAGAGGTGGGGTGACCTCACAGATACCCTGGGGTGGGGGCTGAGTTACCATGGGGACCCAGTTGCTACAAGAAACCCCCCTTTGCATGCCTCCTGCCCCTTTACTGCTCCCTCTGAGACTTCAGTCCAAATCGGGTGGTCATGGCAGGAGGGGAGTGTAGTGTCTTGGAGCCAAGCTGCCTCCAGGTTAGACTCCCCAAGGAGGCCCGGAATGAGAACCAAAGGCAGTTGATTCGGGAGGTGGTCCCTGCAAGCATCCACACAGGCCACGAGGCAGGGGCAGGAAGCAAGCTTACAGGCGTGCTAAGGAGTGGGCTCAGCCCAGCCCCAGCAGCCTGCTGCTAGGCTGCTAAGGCGTTGGCTCCAAGTAGAGGTCCTGGTTTGATTCTCAGTCCAATCTAAAGGCTGGAGGGGGGCGGTAACATGTGCCTATACTCCCATGATGGGAGGCTGAAGCAGGGGACTGTGACATGGGAGATCCTGTCTTTAAGAGAGAGAGAAGAGAGAAGGATGTCCAGCTTCTGAGCGGTAACCTTAGTATCCCAAGCAACAAAAGAGAGAATTAAGAATGGGTGATGTTGAGAAAGTCAAGATTTGTGCTCAGAAGTGCGCCCAGTGCCACACCGTGGAAAAGGGAGGCGAGCACAAGACCGGCCTAAATCTCCGTGGTCTATCTGGGCAGAAGACGGGTCAGGCCCCTGGATTCTCTTACACGGATGCCAACAGGAACAAAGGCATCGCCTGGGGAGAGGATACACTGAGGGAGGACTTGGAGAATCCCAGGAAGTACATCCCTGGGACAGAAACGATCTTCTCTGGCATTAAAAAGAAGTCCAAGGGACCAGCAGTTAGCGTAATGGCTATGTCACTGGACTCCCATGTAGTCGACCATGGTTCACATCCCAAACCCGGTGGCTTAAAAACTCACGTCGGGCACGTGTGCGTGCGTGCCCAAGATCCTGAGAGGAGAATGGAGGAGAAGAGATTGTGGTGTGGCCATCCCTCCTGGGGGGGGATTTCTCGCTTTCTGTCTCTCTGTCTCTCTCTCTGTCTTTCTGGAGAGCACACGGGCCCTATAGCAAAAACCTCTCCCAAAAAAAAGAAGTCCAAAAGAGCAGAGTTGATAGCTTATCTTAAAGAAGCTACTAACGAGTAAAAGGTGGCCACTACCTTGTTCATGACAGAACAGAAATGTCTCACCTTTTTAATGCATGCCATATTTTAACTGATCTCCTACGCCAGAACTCAGATCATGAATGGCTGACAGGGTATTTTTGTTGGACAGTCCTGATGTAAGTAAGACAGGCTTGTGGTTAAATGAATGTTGTTGGTTTTTTCCATTTTGATAGTAATTTCATTTTAGTAAGTGCTATCACTATTCTCTTTTTTTTAAAAAAAAAAAAAAGAATTATTTAATTTAATTTGTTGTCTTTTTTTTTTTTTTAATTGAAGTTGACCAGAAAGAGATAAGGAGAGTGAGAAAGCAAGCTGCCAGGTCCAGGACTCAAACCACAGTCAGCCATGTGGGAGTCTAGCTGCCTTGACCACCTCGCCACCTGCCGGCTCCACTATTTGCCCTTTCTAAAGATATACTTGGTAGTTCATTAGTGATGCTCGTCTTTCTATAAAGATGGTGAATGCCATCTTGAAATCTACTGGAGATTGGCTTTTTATTTAGGCTTATATGTTACTGGATATACGAATATATAAATGCTGGAGAAATCCCTTCACTTCTCAAAACCAAGTAGACTCACCGATGTTTTAATCTGTGTTCATTAACTGTTAAAGGCAAGGGCTGAAGAGAAGGTAGGGATGTCTGCTTGATATATTTGCTCATAACTATGCCAATCTAATTAGAATTCCCTGTATCCAAAACTCGGCCTTTTACTTATTGTAAGACATAAGGGACCAGCAGTTGCCGTAATGGCTATGTCGCTGGACTCCCACATAGTTGACCAGGGTTTGAGTCCTGGACCCGGTGGCTTAAACTCACGCTGGGCACGTATGGGTGCATGCCCAAGATCCCGAGAGGAGGATGGAGAAGGGATTGTGGCATGGCCATCCCCCCTGGGAGGTGATTTCTCGCTTTCTGTATCTCTGTCCCTCTAGCAAGCACACATGCCTTATAGCAAAAACCTCTCACCAAAAAAAGAAAGGCATTTTAGTGTAGTTTGTGTATACTATCAAAGAATATATAACACTTGACATATTTTATCAATGATGTGTAATATCAGATGCTTTTGAAAGTCAGTGTCACAAGACTTGGTTAAATTTTACCTTTTAATTTTATTATGTAAGTCAGACTAAGTTATATTTCAAGATTGTGAGACAACTGTTCAAAACCGCATAGAAACTGAAAAACTATTGTGATTGGTAGTGGTGCTTTTGCCAATTTATTAGAAGGATTAAAGAAGAGATATACCACCAGCTTAGATTTGTAAACGGTGCCATCATAAGACTTAAGATAATTAAAAAACAAAGGACAGATCAAAAGAGAGAGAGAAAGCAGGGTTTCACTTTGGGCAGCCGGGGCTCGGTCTGGCTGGGAACTCCTGGGAAATAGGGCAGAACACGCCTGAGAGTCACCCTGCTCGAGGGGCAGGAGAACAGGAGGTACTTCTTTTCTTGTCTACTTCCGGTTGAACATCAACTCCGGATTGCCAAATCCCAACGTATAAATGACATGGGAAATAGAAACCCTTATCCCCAGGGCCACAAGTGACTAGACACTGAGAGGCAGACGGCAGCCTGTAGGGTGTAGCCTGTTCCCAAACCTGAAGGTCCCTACCTGAGCACTCCCACTCCATTCATTCGTCTCACATTTTGCTAAGGGCTGGTCCCAGTCGCAAAGCAAAGAGAGGAGTGACACTTCAGTGGGTTCTGGGAAGAGTTTCAGTGGACAGGAAGAGAAACCACTGCAGTGAGGCCTCTGAATACCTGGAGAGGGGCAGGCACCGAGGCAAAGAGGCCAGTTGTCGAGTTACCACATCCTCCGGAGCCAGCGGGGGCAACCAGGAGGCCGCAGTTTCCCTGGAGCACCCCGGAGAGGTTGCTGGAGCTGGGGATTACGGTCAGGGACCTGGAATTTCTCAGAGAATTCAGAACCTTCATCACAGCGCTTCTCGTGCTGGGAAAGAAAGGGCCTGTGGACTTGTTCCAGGGGTGGTGAAGACTGGGGACACCCCCAGGGAAGAGCTGTCTAGGAAGGGAGTGGAGGAGGCTGCAGAACCAGGCCTCCATGCCTGGACATGTTTCAAAAGCACGCTCCGCTCTCAGTGGACAGGACACTGTGAGGGCTGGCTCTTTGAGGAGAGGACCCTCTGTGCAGACACAGGGCATGATTTCAGCCCCCACTCAGCTCCTTGGCCAGGCACCCTTG